TCGGCCACCGTAGCCAGACTCCTGGCCGTACTCGCGGCGGTCGTCGTTGTAGGACATTTTGTAGGGTCGAGAGTCTGTAGATGTGTTAGCAACTGATGCGCCAAGCTGCATTACTCTGCAAGTGCCGATGTAACTATGAAGCGTAGCGTCGATGCTTGCCAGTCCAACGAACGTTCAGAACGCTTCACCAGAAGCTTGCTCCGATGCTTAGGAGCAGCCAAGCTTCATTAGACCGAGGCGAGCATCCAAGCTCGCAGCTGATCAATGCCTATGAGAGTGAAAAACTTACAATGTGTGGTGAGTAGAAGAGTGAATGGGTTGAGTGTTGACGAATTGTGTATGCGTAGATGTGTGTTTAAGGGGATGTAGGCTTCAAGTGACAGACTGGCAGCTATAGCTCTGGGCCCCTCCAGGGCTTCCAGCATGAGATTGCCCCGCTAGTGACGTACACCGCGGCAAGCTTCCCTGTCATGATTCGCGCTAGTGTTACAGTAACATCTGCACTGTCTGGGCTCGCATGTTATGTCACGTCACGCGATTCATCGATTGGCGGTCAGGGTCTTTAGGGTACAATTGGTTTGCATTTCTACAAACATACTATAGTAGCCTCGGCGCAAAAACTGCACTACGGGAGCCAAGCGACGATTTGCAGCTATGAGCGGCCATACCGAATCTACCGACCGTCAAGGTATTACACCGACCTTTAGTAGTCATCGCTTCTCCTGTTTGAGCTACCATATCCCGAGCTCTCGCGGTCGTTGGAGCCGTAGCTGTCCTCGTTCTTGCGTCCAGAGCTTCCGTACGAGTCATTGTCGTCGCGGCCCGAAGAGCCTCCATACCCAGAAGAAGTGTTGCCGGAGCCATAGGAAGTTTCTTCAGAAGCTCCAAAGCCACCGGAGGACTTGTTGCTGGAGCCGTAGCTGTCGTTGTCCGTCTTGCGGTTGGACGAGCCGTAAGAGTCATCATCGTCCTTGCGGTTCGATGAGCCGTAGCTGGACTGGTTCTTGCTACCATATGAGTCGTTGTCATCGGTACGGTCCGAAGAACCGTAGCTGGACTGTTTGTTGCTGCCGTATGAGGAATCGTTGTTGTCGTTGTCGTTTGAAGAGCCATAGCTGGACTTCTTGTTGCTACCGTACGAGTCTTCATCGTTATCGTTACGGTTTGATGAGCCGTAGCTCGACGATTTGTTCTCGGAACCGTAAGTGTCGTCACTGTCCTTACGGTCGGAGGAGCCATAGCTAGACTGCTTGTTGCTACCATAGGAGTCCTCGTCGTTGTCGTTGCGGTTCGAGGAGCCGTATCCGGAGGACTTGTTGCCAGACCCATAAGAGTCGTCGTTGCGGTCTGAGGAGCCGTAGCTTGACTTCTTCTCGGACCCGTAGGTATCGTCGTCATCATTCTTACGGTTGGAGGAACCGTACGAAGTACTATCGTTGTCATTCGACCCATAGCTAGACTTCTTGTTGTCGTAGGACGAGTCCTGGTCATTTCCATACCCGGAAGACTTGGAGCCGTACTCGTTGTCCTCACGGTTGCTGCTACCGTAGCCTGAGGTACGATCCTCGCGGTCGTTATCGTTGTAAGACATGTTGATAGAGATGTGTTTGGGTGAAGGACTCTGAAGGGTTGGAATATTTGGTAAAGAAGTTACTTGCTGTTTGCTGAACACTGACTATCGTGGCAGGCCTCTTCCTCTTTATATGCGTTCTCTCGAGGGCAGTCTACCCCTCTATCACCCCGCAATGCCGAAAGCAGGTTTGGTGTTGTTCATCCCGCCTATGCTGTATTACTATCGCTGTGACCCCTGTGAAGCTGAGCCGTACATTCGGACCGCTCTAGATCTCGGCAAAGTCCGGATGTGCCTTGGTTCAGCAGCAGCTCATCACCAAAACTGTCATGGTGAGCGATTGAGTCTCCATCGTGGCACCGCAAAGCCACCGCAAAGAAATGGTCCAGGAAGGATGGAAGAGTTTGATGTGGCCTGTTACAGCATAGAACGACCTCACCAACTCTCGTAGTATTACCGTGGATGCACCGAAGCTGAAATTGCGGGATTAATGTAGTGGCTGATCATGGATATCTTGTTCGGACGCATTTGGAGTGTTGGAGGGGTAGCTATCAGGGTAGCGAATAGAGCAAGTACGATCGGACACGGGATGACCGAAGGGTGGGACATCGAGCACGCAAGCGACATGGATTGCGAACTGGATTTACACAGCACAGCCACCTCAGCCACGCCTCCAGCCACGGTCTAACCAACAATCGGTAAATGTACCTGCTGGAGAAATACTTTACGTCGGCCGATTCTCCGCGACAGCGATTCCATGATACAGTACACTGTCATTTGTTTTCGTTTGTGCGACGAACGCATCCGTTTGAACTTGCAAGCGTACGTGGCACCAGCGAAGGCTCTTGCTTCACCCCAACGGTCGATACGTTCGCCGATGTTACTCCCCACTCACATGTTCATTTAAATCTTCGAATGAGGTGATGGCCCTAAGCATGATAAGATCTTGACCGAGGTGAAGATCCCGAGGAGAACGAACATGTTCTATATTGACATAGCTTTGAAGCATGCTACAGGATGACTTCGTGCTTTGGCCTGTCAATCCCCTTCACAACGGCCTTCCCAGTCTTCGAGTGGATACTTAGGGAGGCTAGTCCCAGAGTCAGCTACAGCGTGCTCCAATTTCTTCAGCATAGATTCTCTCTTGAGCGCTTTAGCGAAAGACAGTACTGTCAAGCCTTCGTTCGTAACGACCGACAAATCAACATGCCACTCCAATAAGAGATCAAGTACGTCTTCGTGATCGTGCTCGATTGCCTCGAAGATCGGCGTCCAATTACTCCAAGTTCGCGCGTTAATGTCGCATCCGCACTCTTTGAGTTGATTCACTATGTCTAGGTCTCCGCCACGACAGGCTCGATAGAACGGAGTGGCGCCTGATGCAGAAGGTCTGTGTGGATCAGCACCATGGCTTAGTAAAAGATCCACTACCCCTTTCGCACACCATTCGGCTGCGAAATGCAACGGAGTCAACGCTTTGAACTGTCCCAGTTCGCGAGTTGGCTCGTCTACCTTTGCGCCATGATCTAACAGATATCTGACCAGATGCTGGTCGTATTCCTTTGCGGCAACTGTAAGACAGGTGAGGCCATTTTCGAAATGGTAGTCCATGTTTGGTAGCCGTTGGCACAGCTCCCTTGCAGTAACGTGCAACTCGGCCCAGATGCACATACATGTTGGCGAATAGTCGAGGAATTCGGCATTGGGCAAGATCTTCGCAATCAGACTCTGCCATCTCTTGTAGCAAGGCGGTCCCTCCTCGGCGTCCAGGAACCTGCCAAGAGCAGGACGGGACGGATCATATAGATGTAAGCGACATACTGAAGCGCTTGCTTCATGATTGAACCAGTTGAGTGCAGCGTACGTGCGAAATGCATAATCTTGATCGAGATCCAGATCTAGGCCGTACTCTAGTGGCGTATTGAAGGCATCCATGGTGAGGTGCTGAAGGCATATATCGGCCATCCATGCTTCTGCCTCGCTATCAGACACATAGAATAGACTAGCCGGACTTTCTTGGATAGTAGTAGAGGTAAGATATTGCTCTAGGGTAAAATGGCAGAGTCTTATCACACTGCGCTGATCTTCGGAACTTTCAATCCGTATGAGTGTGGAGATAGGTTCCAAAGCGTCGTAAGGATCTGTGACCACGGCATCATGATCCAGGTCGCGCTCATCGGGTTGCATGGCCAAGATCTCCGCTAGTTCGGGAGCGGTCAATGGTGTCGCAGCAGCGATTAGACACCGGAACAACTTTTGTACCTCTTCAACCCTTGTTGGGTACCGCGTCGCGATGTCGCACAAAATTGCTTCGTACGTGTGTCCAAGCCCATTCGGTAAATTTTGCAAGATGATTTTGATCTCCTTATCTGACTTCGCCGTACAAATATAGTCGATCGTCAGACGTGCCTGTAGCATCCTGCATTGTATTAGTAATCTATTATGACGGGTCGATGAATAGCCGTGGAGCTAGGTGGAGGACCAGACAACGCAAGACGTAGGAGACTTACGTGCCCGCACAGAGGACGATCTGTTGTCGCATCGAGGACAAGATGTCTTTGTTCTTAACTTTGAGCACACCTTTTGCAACACGCACTTGAAGTTCTTCCGCGACGTAATGCTGGATGTCGGGACGCATGTTCTCTGCAAGAATGACATGTGTCGTGGCAAGGGTTGGATATCGTCCCTGAATAAGAGCATCAAATCGGCTCGTCAAAAGGATCCTGATACGGCACCCTGCGCCTTTCTGGGACTCGTGAAATCTCGCAAGACTTCGGGCTATGCTATCACCCTCAGTGGACTCATCGAGCGCGTCCAGGATGATAAAAACATTCTTTAGATGTTCCGCAGATGAGCAGATCAGTGGAAAGTAGTCGTCGCTTTGGAAAGGGCGACTGCCTTCCTTAGATTTCTCGTTGTAGAGTAATCTGCCTTGTTCGAGACACAAAGGTGAAGCTTCCATCATTTGTCTCGCAACACTTGAAGCAAAATTCTCGTGTGTCAGTTTCGCGCGATCGCGATGATCGCAGAAGAAGTATAAAACTGTGGCGGTATCCGCACAAAGCCGTTGAATGTGTCGAATGATAGATGCGCAGAGGAGCGTTTTGCCTGCTCCAGGAAGACCAGTAATCCACATGGTGCCATCATCTGAGTCTTTCCAATCTTGAAACTCTTTGGATTGCAAGAGCCATTCTCCGGTACCAGGAATATGGCGACTCATAGCGCTTGCAAGACTGGCATGCGCACCATCGGATGGCGTTGGACAGACCCATGATATTACCTTCTGTACTTCCTCACGGCTCATCTGCGTACGAAGCTGCTCAGACATATTCTTCACCTCGTCTGAGATTAGGCCTTGTCCTGTTTCGATCCTTCGTATCGCAGATCTGTGGACCGTTTAGGCCAGACACTTATTAGGAAGCATGCATACTCACGCAGAGTTGGCCTCGATAGCATTCGCAAGTAATCCGCGCATGTGATGAAGCCTCTGCAGGGCGTCTTTGGTCTCTTTCTCTTTAAAAGGCCACATCAGTTTCCTCCCAAAATTCTTTGCATCTTGACCATTGACCTGCTCGCATTTTGCCAGCGCCCGCTCGATTGACTTGAGCGTGGACTGACATTCTTGAAAGACACCGACCCGTTCAAGAGCCTGCAGTGCATCGTCTGCAGCTGCTTTGGGCGATGTATCTGCGATCTGCTGCAATTGCGCGAGAAGGCTGTTGACGGCCGCGGTTTCCGTCAGGAGACTCCGGATCTCGCTGGGCGCTCGCGCGACCTTGGATAGGAAGTTGTAGCCGCCAGCGAGTAGGGCACCGCTCAGTTGGACTAGCTGAGCGACAGATGCAACTGTACCAACGATCTCAGCCATGGCAAGTGGTCAGCAATGAATGCATGTGATCGATGGCTATAGGTGCGCGCAATGTAGGAGTCTGGGATGGTAGGCGCGTCAGAGCTGAAGTTCAGCGCGAAGGCGGGGAGGACCCCAGCCACTTCACCTGGGCACTCACGGTCAGCAGCTAACACTTACAACTACATGATTTCATAACAACAAGGCAATACGTTCATTCTACAGATTAACAAGTATCATCAAACATTCCTCCGCGACCCTTCAACAGGCCGCTCCTCCTCTGCCTCATTTCTCCTGTCATACGCCTCCGCCAACCCCTTCAACTCCCCCAAATCCTCAATGAGTATGGTAACATTCTGTTTTGCCATCAGCAGAAGAGCATCGAGTTCCTTCTTCTTAAGAGAGCCCTGCGTTACTTTTCCAGTCGGCAGAGGCGGGGCGACATAGCCTTCTGGCTTACAGAAGTCTAAAAGCCCGCCGTCTTGAGCACTGGGAGTAGGAGCGCGCGAGAAGATACATGCCAAAGGACTACGATACGTTTCGCGCCTTCTCTGAATGTCGACGAGTGTGCGCCAAACCTCCCATTCGCGCTCCCAGCATCCAGTCAGAACTTTGGTGCTGAAATCTGCTATGCGCTTTAGCTCGGTGATCTCATCCTGTAAGCTCCCGTATTCTCGGTCGAGTTCTTTGATCTGGAGGTGGTTCTCTTCGAGCTGCGTGCTGAGCTGCGGAATGAGATCTTCTTCTAAGCCCCAGACGCGATCTTGCAGACCGTAGACAGCAGCATGTAACCTTTGGACAAGACGCACTACTATTGGAATATGTGACGCGGCATTACTGGGCGGCACAAGTGCAGGGAATGGCGGCAGATGCGGAGGTGCTGAGTCCTGGACGACGTCGTAGTGGAGAGCGAGCTCGGAAGGTGTTAGTAGCGAACAGAGGAGGTTGAAGACATGCTCTGGCACGTTGTCGGGAAGCGCAGGTGGGTACTGGAGGGCAGCATTACTGGAGTCCCCGCTAGAGCTTGATGGGGGATAGTAGCCTGGATGTACACCATTCGTTAGTTGAGCTGGGCTCTCGCCACTGCCTCCTCGTAATGGCCAGTTGTTGGGCGTGGGAGAGTGATAGAGAGTGCGGCTTGAACTTGAATCGCTGTGATGTCCAGAACTAACACCATTTGTTAGCGGCGGCTGCTGCTGCTCTTCACTTCCCCTAATCTCTTCTCGTGACTGCGACGAAGGCGTCTGTTCGGTCTGAAAGCGATCATGAAATGCACTTCCAGCAATTGGGTAGCTGAAATTTGGAACAAGACCAGCGTCCGTCACCGTGATAGGGTGAGTATCTTCATGCCCAGAATCAACAATGGTAGAGTTTCGATGCACTCTTTCTTGGATTCTTGCTCTCGTGGCCGGATCAACAACATCATTGCGAATGATTCTGTTAAGCGCTGTAAGCCATGTTAGTAGTTCAGGCTGCTCGGTCCGGTCCGAGAAACCATTTGGTAATTCTGTAGAGAGTTCCGCTTGAGCTTGCGTATGTACAGAATCTGCTGAAGCAGGCGGGGGTGATGGATCCGTCCGCAATGCCGCATTAACAGTTTGAGGCGGAATTGTTGGATGCAATCGTGCTGCAGGAGTTGTCGTGGTCGGTAAGTTGTGTACTGCGCTTGACTCATTTATAGTGGCCTGTCCACCAGGATCACCGAACTGACGACTCTCTGAAGGGAAGTCCATGAAGCCATCCCACTCACTAGTGCCTGGCGTGATCGGCAACCTCGGGGGAGTTAGTTGTCTTGGAGGAGAAAGTCGCCGCTCCGGAACCTGTGCTCGCCGAACAGTAGGAGTTCTGCCGTTTCGCTCCTCCCATCGCCTAAGATTCTCCGTATTTTGTGCGGAAGTCAGATACTCACTCGGTACAGGCCTTGGATGCTGTGTTTGCCCAGCCGCAGCAGACTTGTTGTTCTTCTCTTCCCACCTCCTCAGGTTTTCTCTGTTCTGTGAGGCCGTCAAGTACTCACTCGGTACTGGTCTTGGAGGGAGCTTCTTCTCTGCTTCTGTTTTTGGACGCCGGATTGGAGCCCTATGGACCTCCTGCCGGAGCTCTCCACCCGGTGGACCAGCGTATATTGGTTCTACGTCCGAAGCCAGCATGATGCTGTTGAAGAAGAGCTGCTCTCGCGGGTATATATGGCCTCGGTACGGACCCCTATCGATGATCACCGGAAGCTCGTCAGGTGAGTCACTACTTCTGGGCCCAATACGTCCATCATCGAGGTCATTCTCGATCTTGTCAAGAGCCCTTTGCCTCTCCTTCTCGCGTTGTGTTTCTAGCTGCCTCGGTGTAGGGGACGGCTCATGGATCGTGTAATAATGAGTAGGGCGTCGGAATGGGTGTTTGAGTCGCTGAAAGGATGGCATCGTCGTGGTTCTGATACTGGGAGTTTGGTGGCGGAGTTACTGGACGGTCTGAGAGGGGCAGGAGATCCGAACATGAGTGTTCGGTGGTGAGGATACATGCTGGGCTGTTTGGTAGTTCCATGTGCTCGGTTGTGACAAAGGGGCGTTTGTGAACGCGCTGGCTGAACATTCGCTTCAATGCAATCGCAGAGCGATGCGTGGCCATGGTAATAGTTGGACACGTCGATCCTCGACAAAGGTGATGTCGATGGTTTGGAAGGGACAACACGGACAGAGCGCAATCCATGCGATGAGGTTGGAACGGAGTAGAAGGGTACCGTGATATGTTGGAGCCTGAAGGTATGGTTGCCGACGGCGTTATAAATATACACTACTTGCATTGTAATCTCTTATAGCGAGATGCTTACTGTGAAGCCATGATCGTTCTTCCGGGTATGCAACAACCGTAAATGCGCCATGAAAAAAGAAGAAACCACTCCATGGCTATGCAACCGCGAGAATGCAGATGAAACGCCCCCATGCCGTGTGATCGTAAACCGTAACGCCGAAGAACCTCAAAACCTCTTCTTCGCCTTGGCAGCCATAGCCATCAACTTCTTCTTACGTTCTTCTTTCTCACGCTTCAACCGATTTTCCTCCGCTAGCGCCTCCGCGTCCTCCTTCTTAGCAACCTTGAGGGCTATCTGTTCTTCTTCTTCTACGTCCCAGATACCACCCTCCATATCAGAAGAAGCGTCAGAGGCGTAGTCTTCTTCTTCGTCTTCCATCTCGCTTAGCTCGTCCCAGTCTGCGTAGCCGTCGTAGCGTCCCTTGCCTGGGTTCGGTTTGGCCTTGACGGCTGGTGTGCCGTTTCGACTAGACGTTGCAGGTGCGCTTGCTGGACGGGCGGTTCCCTTGTAGCCAACTTCAACAGGCTTCTTGGCAGGCCGTGCTGTGCCTTGATAACCAACGTCGACAGCCTTCTTCTTGTCTTTTGATGAATCGGCTTTCGGGTCTGTTGTTCTTGAGGGTAGTCCAGCGACAGGCTTCTTGCCCTTTGCGCCGGCACTCGCTTCTGCCTTGAGTGCCAAGCGTTCTTTTCGTGTAAGTATCTTTGTTGGTTCATGTTTGATGGGTGGGGCGATAGGCTTCGTCGAGTCCTTCTCCTTCGCTTTCTGAAGCATAGCGAGATATCCTTTCTTGGGTGCGGCAGACGAGGCGGGTGTTGAGGTGGTGGCGGAGGGCGCAGGCTTGGGTGCAGGAGCTGCAGCCTTCGGTTTCGCAGCGGGTGCGTTTGACGACTGTAGAGGTTTCCGCACGGTGGGATTCGCCGGCTTTGAGGATGCTGGTGCAGCAGTGCCACGATACGGGACGGCGGTGGTAGATGCGGACGGAGCCGGTTTCGACGTGGCAGGCGATGAGGTGGCGCGCACGGCACCATTTGCCTGCGCTGATCCCCCGACAGCCTCTTTCCTCTGTATCTTGACCTGTGAGCTCTCGACTGGACCTGAGGCCTTGCGCTTCAGCTGGGGGGTTTGCGAGGCGCTATTTGCCCCTGCGATCGGTCGCGGCGCTGGCCTAGGGGCTCCGGCGGGCGGGCCTTGCTTCGAAACCGTCGCCTGCGTCTTCGCGCCCGTACGGTCGATTATAGACATGATGTCTTTGAGAGACTAGATGATGCAGTCAGCATACGACTGCTGGCGGGGATGGAGTCGCCGGACTCACACTCATGATGGGCAACTGATAAGCGTTTGACTCAGGCTACCGGTCGTCAAATCGATTGGAGGACAAGTTGTACATGCTTTCCGGGTGAGATTCGCCGGTGTCGATAGTCGGCGGTGACTGATCACGCGCGCGGGGAGGAGGATGGGCGCACGGGACCGGTCGTGGATTGAAGAGGGGAGCGGCCAGAGAATGAGCGGTCGGCGGCGGCGCAGACAAGTCGCTTTTATACATGGCTTTGCGCCTAGCCCGACGGCACGTGACAAGGCGGGCGTTTTGCGCTAGTCGCGTTGCGGCATAGCCCAGGTAGCGAGATCCCACCCGAAGTCAATATTCGCGGACCTCGAACTTTTCTTTTCTACGACAACCTACAGAAGAACTTGTAGCTTCAGTCTCCGGCCCCGACGGTACGCATCACTTTGGAATCGCATCCAGCAGCGCAATACTGACAAGAACAGGTTAAATCGATTGAACTCCTGTTCCAGACAAACCACCCCAACAATCACAATGAAGCACCTCGCGGCATACCTCCTTCTCGGTCTCGGTGGAAACACCTCCCCCTCTGCCGCTGATGTCAAGGTAAGAGGGAATCGCTCAGTACAACTCGCTATACCACGTTCTAACAACGCAATAGGCCGTCCTTGAGTCCGTCGGTATCGAGGCTGACTCCGACCGTCTCGACAAGCTGATCTCCGAGCTTGAGGGCAAGGACATCAACGAGCTCATCGCCTCCGGTTCCGAGAAGCTTGCTTCCGTTCCCTCTGGTGGTGCCGGTGGCGCCGCCGCTTCCGGTGGTGCTGCTGCCGCTGGCGGTGCCGCTGAGGCTGAGGCCGCTCCCGAGGCCGCCAAGGAGGAGGAGAAGGAGGAGTCTGATGACGACATGGGTTTCGGACTCTTCGACTAAGCGCGTCGCCAAACCACCTCTCTTCACGAAGTATGATCCGGCAAATCTCTCGATCATTACGAGAATCATGCGCAACGAGTTCGATTTGGGGAGTGTCGAGCGAGCACTACAAGGGATATGGAGAAGGACACTGCGGCATTACTAGACTAATTGCCTGCTGAGATACCCGGAATGAAGCCATGCACCCTCAAACATTCAGCAAGTGTACTAGTGTTGTGTGATACCCGACCAATCCCGCATGGTGACTGTGATTGTTTAATATGACCATCCTTGACTAAAGTTGCGTTGTCTCCAATTAGGCCAGGTCCCGGTCTGAGTCAAAGGCGCATCCTCACCTACTTGCGACATGTCATGTCAAATCTCGCGACTGGCGAATCGACAGTGAGATGTATAGGAACACCACAGCTACCACGAACGAGCATAACAGAGAATGTTATGATCTTGGGAAAGTATTGAAGTGATCTCGGATCGTCATCTAGACTTAGAGAAGAATAGTCGCGTATGAGCTCACTGCGTCATCAGGTATTTGAAGTCGTTGAACGCATCCTATGTAAGGCGAGGTTGATGTGGAGATTCTGTTCCGAGGTTCGCATAAAGCAGTTTCCAATCACAACCACGGAGCGATAATTCATCATCACAACTATGTTCACATCAATTTAGATGTTCTTGTTGGTGAATAGCATGATCGCAGCTGCCCGTCTGGACTGGCGCTAAAAGGTCTCGCTTAGCGCACAGGGCAGCTACACCTCCAGGGCTCTAATTTCAATATCGCCCATCGAGAACTGACGACCGACAACTACCCTCGCGACCCAACGAAGTTCTCCCATCACTTCGACAACCACAAACATGGCTGACGCTGACTACGATCCCGAGGCCGCAGCTGGTACGCCCTTGCCTTCCGCACCAGACCTTCCCACACTCCCGCACCGCTCTCCCTGGATACGTAGACGCACAACGTGATGGACATGGCTAACAAACACAACAGCCCTTAAGGCCAAGAGGGCGTTCCGCAAGTTCTCTTACCGCGGCGTTGACCTCGACCAGTACGTCCTCCGATCCCCGCGACTCCCCGAACGCGCTGGAAATGCATACAAGTGTGGCGGTATTCTGATCGATACACAGGCTCCTCGACCTCGGCTCTGAGGAACTCCGCGA